GTCTAGCTCCCATTGGCCATCATTTGTATAATTAAATATCAAATATATCAACCTTCGGTATATCACCAGAGCCTACTGGACTCACTTTTAGTTTCTGAATGCCTTCTTGGAGTAATTTTAATTATTTGTTGAAGGATTAATATCCCATATCTTGATAGAACGTTAAAAGACTATAGAAAGAGTTTACTTGTTTTTTTTTCTTTAATAAAGAAAAATTAATTCTCGAGTTTAATTGGTGTCACAATGCTATACCAAAGCTTGACAAATAACATTAATTACGATATCGATATCGAAACACTCGTATCATGACAATTGAATATTGAATATTGAATCAATGTTTCCGAGTCGAAATTTTGATTCCATATTGATCCTGCAAATTGATTCCAAACTTGAAGAACCAATGGAGAATCTCGAAATATCGCATTGTACAAACTTGTCCTAATTTTTACCGTCCTGATAATTACTTACTGTCTTTTTCTACATGTCGAGTCTCATCTTAAGATTATTTAATATTCGATTATCCTAATATTCCACCTGCACTTTTTCTCTTATTTTAATTTCAGTCAGCAATGCATTAATTGTATAACTTACTACAAATATATATGTGAGGTAATCAAATATTAAATAATGTCATAAAAATTGAAAGAAGCAACACACATTTTTTTTCTCAATATTTTTATTTTTTTTCTTCTGGCGTTGGTAGACTCTCATCTAGCACTGAAAAGAGTTGATGGAAAAGCTGTAAAGGCAAAGTAACGGTTATTTGTCCAATAATGCTGTTTATCAATAGAGATTTACGTCTGGATTCGGTACGAGAAAGCTGAAAGGCCGTTGGAAAATGTCAACAAGATCGGATTCGCGACTCGCAGAGCATTATTAGACATAAAAATCAACATTTGTGAGATTTACATTAGATTTCGAGACCGGTATGCATAGTCGCAAATTATTTAGCATCTTTGTTCGAGAATACTATTAATTACAGATTCGTATTCATGAGGATCATTATTTGATTAGTTGTATCAATGTTTCCTATACCAGTAATATAAACACATATCACATATAAACAAGCGCGTACAGGATATCGAGAATATAATCGAAGATTCATAAGGCTTTATTTACTTGTCAAATGAAAGCAGACTATGAATGCCGGTCGAAATTTCGACTCGGATGTTTCTTTATTCCCGGCAAGTAAAAAAGATTTGACTAACCTCGAAAGTACATTTACTTCTTATTGTCGAGCGATGATGTCGAGCGACTGGCACGCGTAACTTTTTTTTACCCTCCTGCCGATTCTCCTGAAAGAAAGAGCGACGAGTAAACCATTTTGCTGCATCGAAGAAAAATAATAAAATAACGCTCAATCTCGATACTTTCCCGGAATTTTTTATATTCAGTAGTGTAAGAGTAACACATATAGGATGTATATAAATAACATAGGGAGCGAGTCCCTATAGATATGACCTTCCTTCTTTTGTTTACTTGCCTTATGCATACGCACTAAGAGCCGAATGAATAGACGAGCAGTTCGAGGCAGTAAACACAAGAAAAACAATAGATAGCGTAACGATAATATAATTCAGACGCCCGTCGGTGGAGGTCGAGCGGGAGATACGGAGACGCACCCCGAGTGCCAGAACACCTTCGAGTCAGACTTTCGCGCAATTACCTCACGCGATAATTGAATTAAAAATGGCGGTCCGAATGGGCTTGGTGCGCACTCGAACCGCTGCAGCGAGCAGTCGGAGATCTCCAAGGGAAAGCACACGAGGAAATCACCAACGTATCCCAGCCTAAAGCTCCACCATCCAGCACCAAGAGGTACGAATGGACATCAAGGAAAAGCGCACGGGATGTCCCTCTCAGCTGCTGGCTCAGTTCACTTAGGTTATACCGGGCCCTCCCTCCCTCCCTCCCCCCGGGAAAATGCACGGCGAGCCCTTGGTCCGGCGACCAAAAGAACATCTGAATCGGACCGAAGGGTGTCGAAGGGGAACGCACGACGACACCGGTATTCGGAATTAAGAGAAATCAACTAATTGTGTAAGGGAACAATGCTCGACCCCGGTCATCCGATGAACATTACGAAACAATGATTTGATTACCACTCACCAACATTCCGCACGAGTGGCGATGGCACGTCTTCGTTCGGGCGTCCAACTGCGACTAACTGCCTACCTCTATTCGCGACATCGTTTTTATGATCCGCGTCTCTATCTTCCAAACGTAAACACATCGTTTTCCCCACCATTGACCTCGCTGTGATCGTTATTGTTTCTCAACGCCCCGAATGCCCGTTTCGGACTTTCATCTGCAATACTCACATCTCGTACGATATGAATATGGTTAGATATTAGAAACAAGAATAAATTCATATTCTTATTATTTTTATTATTATATTTATTATTTATTATATATATTATTTATTATTATTATATTTATTATTTATTATATATATTTATTATTTTTATTACAATAGTGTGCTTTTCTTCAAAGATATACACAACAACAGATCGACGGCGTTCTTTAGAAAAGGAAAAAGAAAAAGGGGACGAACAAGCGAAGAAAAAGAAAAAAAAAGGGGATATTCGTCTCACGGTAGAATATTTGGGATTAATGTGTGGAAGCGAGTTTCGATTTAACAAAAGCGTACTTTTTGTAAAAATTACGTAATAGCTGTCAAGTATGCTCGCATATTCCACTCGCGGCTGCACAAGTTACACAATCAACGCGTGAAAATGACTCGGATTCGGGGATAAAGATGAAATTCCAGGTAAAATATCGAGATAATCGAATCTCCTCGCAAATTGCTACATAGACGTGCTACGTATCGCATAATGTATCGCGTCATTGGCAACGCTCCAAAGGGAGGACAGTGCGGGCCGAGGCCGTCTCTTAATAATATTGGCGATAAAGCAGCCGAAAGGAACACCCTCGGGTCACCGCGCGCGCGGCGTTCACTGTGAATGCACTCCCGCGGAAATGAAACTGCTGCCATATGACACGCCGACGATCTCTTCCTTTCCTCCCCGTAGCCGCTCTTCTTTAGTGATTTCTTTCTTGAGTTTTACGGCTCGCCGGTAGCCAGAATCTCCGCATTAAACGCATTCGCGCGACTCGCTGTTTCGGAATAACGACGAGCCGACTTCGTATAATGAGCCGATGTTTCCCGGATAGTTGGCGATGAAACGAACACCGCGCTCGGCGCGCGTTCTATGAATGCGAATGGAGCGATAACGATACTCGGTCGATTGTAATACGCCCGCGAGTTTTACTCGTGAAAGGAAAGAGAGGAGAGGAAAATTCCGCGCATGAGAGAAGTTACATGCGCGATGAGAACCTTTTCAACAGACTCTCTTCCCCGAACCGGAATTCGATGGAAAAACGAATCTGTCGAATCTGTCGAATTTATATTTTTCTACCAATTTGATAGCATCGACAGGGGGTGACGCTTCGGCAGTAAACGGGCGTATGTCAATCGTCAAACTGTCCGGAGTTTATCGATGATTCGATCGATTTCACCGGTTGATAATAACATCCGCGATTCAACTACTTTCTCGCCATCGCGAATCATCTAACGTCGTAAAATAAGTATCGTGTCTCGATCCTGGCAGAATGTCATATTCGCGCGAGATCAACCGGGTACGAAATTCGAGGATTATCCGCCGAGGATTCCGCTAACATTATGAAGCCTCAATGGTCATATACCGTCGATTCGCGCGGGAGCGTGTGGACAAAATTTCGGCGCGGTTTAATAACGTCTTTGTCAACGCTCAATTGGCCGGATCTCGGCGATATAATGGGAAATGGGCGGACAATAAAACGCGGCTCGACGATACATCGATACTCGCTGGCGCTAGCGTCGCTCAGATTCGCCGCCAGATTGATATCGAAGCGCGAGAGCGAATATTACTTTCGAGAAATTAAACCGCGAGAGCAGAGCGCCCGCGCGCCGTCGAGTATGTAAAGTCATAAAATACAAATATTTGTACGGCGCATCAACGACGCGAGTGTTTATGTTGGACACATATTGCGTAATATTTCTCCTCGCAGCAAGACGGGCACGTTGCTCGCGCATTCGAAACAGCGATTTTCATAAAGAAACCAGTGACGTTCGATAAACGACTTCAGCGCCAGCGTAAATGTTTACCGGCTCGAATATGATTTTCCGGCTCGCGCGACCAACTCTGTACGCATCCTCTCCCCCCCTTTCCCGCCTCCGCGATACCGCTTTGAAACGCGACATTGCTTGTTTCGGAGCGCTTTACCGCGCGTTTGCGTTATAAAATGTAGCTCATTAACGGCGAGATTAATTACATTCCGTAGGATCCTTTTTAATTAGCGACGACACAGCGTGATTCCCGTCCCCCCCCCTCCCCCGCGTTTTAGCGTTGCCCTTGCGACGTCCATGTTAATTGTAATAACGTCTAGCGGGCGAACTCGCTGCCCCCCTCGTGCAGATTCTCGATCCGACGCTAAAAAATTACCATTCAATCTCCGCCCTCTCCCCCGGCCCCTCGTCGCCGTCACCGCCGGCAAGCTTACCCCATGCGATACGGATGGTTAACGTAATTCAATCGCGGCTCGCCGCCGCGTAATGGTTTTTAATCGCTCGATAATCGCGCGCGCCCATCAGTCGCGATCCGCCGGATTTTCAACGCTCCCGAACAAACCCCCCTCCCCTCCCCTTCCCTCCGCGCGCCCCAGCGTGAAAAACAATTCCGGATTCCGAGATCGTGTATTTGCATCCACCTCTAATTATCCATGCGGGGATAATAACCGTCCGGGCTGATTCCCATCGGGTTCGTCGTTTCCGGCCGATCGGCCGGAAGTCGATGATATCCCGCCGTATTCGCGCGCGACGCACGCTCGATGTTGCGGGCTTGCCGTCGCAAAAGGATGATCCTTGCCCACCTGGCCGGCTCGATGTCCCGCGTGACGTCCACGTGCACACGTGACGCGCGTATGAGTGGCTGGGTGAACACACAGTCTGTTCTTCGCAGGATTATTTCACCGCGTGGTATTGTCCAGCGGCTCGGCGCTGAGTCCTTGGGCTTCGGTGCACGATCCGAACGACCTCAGGACGAAGATCGGCGAGCAGATGGGCTGTTCGACCGAGGGCGACGACGACATCGCCGATTGCCTTCGCGGTGTGCCGCTGGAGACGCTGATGGACGTGCAGTTACCGGAGATCAGGTGAGAGCACTGATCGCTTTTGTGGCTTCGGCAGGGAGAAAGAAGGACACACACACACACACACTCTTCATCGAAGGATTCGTCCGACGGACGATTTCTCCTGTGCGCGCGCGTACGTTGCTCCCTCCTGCGTCTGCATTTCTCTCTTTCGTTTTCATTCCCTCCCTCTTCCCCCTCGTCCCTCGTCGCACGTGTGCAATCGACGAGAAAATTAAAATGATAAAATATGCATCTCCGAAATTGATACAAATGGAACGGATTGATATTCCCTTTTATTTCTTTTTTATTTGCGACAGCGTGTCGGTGTAATAAATATTGTCGCGGAATTGCGCCCGCGCGATACGTATATACTGCGGCGCGATTCATATTCATCGGCCGAATATCGGAGTGATGCATTTCAATGAAAAGCAGCAAACGCCGGATTTTGTATAAAATAAAAGAAGGTAAAAACAAGCGGCGCGCGCGATTGATATCGTCTCGCGGAAATAACGTCTGATCGGCGCGGTTTGCGCGATTACCGCGCTATGAAATTTTTGCAATAATTTCATTGCTTGTCGAGCCGGCCGCGTCGCGATAAATCCGAGACTTGCAAAACCGTGTAATCGCGAAACAACGACAAGCCTCACCGAGGGAGAGAACAAGAGAGAGAAAGGGAGGGGGGGGGAGAGAGAGAGAGAGAGAGAGAGAGAGAGAGAGAGAGAGAGAGAGAGAGAGAGAGAGAGAGAGAGAGAGAGCGAGGGAGGGAGGAACATTGCCAGATTAATAAAGTATATGTCGCGCGTAAAATTTATATTTATTTATATCGCGTTTCCCGAGCGCGGGGCAGAAACGGACAATGGGGAGCGAGAAAATCCGAAAAATCTGCATTTCGGAGATGAAAGGCGATCGTCGAACTCGGTAACGTAATTCGCGATCGCGTTCAGCACAGCCGCGCGCTTCACGTTAATTGTGCGCGGCTTACGCGGCGCCGAGAGCGTCCTTATTATATCGACTTACCGGCGCTTTCAGATTCGTGCCGCGCATAGGACCCGGTTTGCCGGTGGACCAAAATAATCCGGACCCGGGTCTGGACATGGAGCGGGCGAGCGACGCATTCATCAAGGTGCCGCTGATCCTGGGTGTCTCCACGACCGAGTCCAACCTCGATTTCAACGCCAACGACATCCAGTTCGGCTTCGAGGAGGATCACCGGAACCGCATTCTGCGCACCTTCATCCGCAACGCCTACGTCTACCATCTGAACGAGATCTTCTCGGCGGTGAGGAACGAGTACACGGACTGGGATAAGCCGGTGCTTCATCCCATCATAATAAGGGACTCGACGATGGAGGCGTTGAGCGATGGCCACACGGTAGCGCCGCTCATGAGAATCGCCTTCTATCACGCGAGAAGGGGCGCCAAGACGTATTTTTATCATTTCAATCATCAGTCCAAGGACAGCGGCTACCTGCAGGTGAGAAGAACCCGTCGGTAATCTCGATTTCCCCCGTGTGGTCTACAAATTCTTCCATCCGCCATGCGTCTTGGAAAACTCGGCGTTGACGTGACGACGATTTGTCTCTCTTCCTTTTCTTTCCCTATCTCTTTCGTTTTCTCACGGCGCGTTGTGAGATTTCAATGTCGGGATCGTGACTCCGTTCTTAAATAGCGACCGAGATCGCTTTTCGGCAATCCGGTAGTGAAAGTAAGCGGCGGGGAGAGCGCGAAAATTTCTTTTCCTTGCGAAAGATAACTCACGCGCACGGGAAATGAAGCCGGCTGGCTGCAAGTCTTCATCGCGACGGGCTATACACGTGAAAATAACCCCGAGGCTCTCCCGGCTATTCCGTATTCCAAAACGGCGTGTCTCTGCTTCTCACTCCCAACGACGTCCTAACGACGTAAGGCGGAGAGGGTGAGCGGAAGGGGGGTGGGGCGCTGCTTAAGTTCGGATTAACTCCATTAACTTGACGTCCCGAAGAGAGACTAACGTTCGCCCTCGACACCTAGTTCACCGGCACCCTCAGTTAAGGTAGCAACTGTTCAACCCCTTCCTGAGATACACTCGCTATCTCTCTCTCTCTCTCTCACCTTCTCTCGGTCCTCCTCGATGCTCCTCACGATATCCCATCTATCTCACTCTACCACCGGTCGATCTATACCCGCTGGTAACCGCTGGCCATGACTTCACGATGAAGACACTGATTTAATAAAACGCCTCGAGAGCGGCCCGGCCGCCCGTGACTCGCGTTTTGTCTCGGCGATGACGGACATTTGTCAAGCTTGACATAATAATATCGAGAGGCCAGGAAGAAATTCTTATATCGGCCAATTTGTAAGGCCGCCGCCGCCGACGCGACGTGTGCCTAACTAACTAACGCCAAGCCCGCGAGAGTTAGCGCGGGAGGAGACGGGAACAGATTGATGTCTTCAATTTCTCCGCTCCGCGGCTTGGCCGAAAAAAAAGGAGGAGGCTTCGGCAATTTCGGCGCTGCGGCAACATTGAAAAAGTCGCAGATAGAGTCAAATCTGCGATAGGGGCGGATCGCGCGCGAGACGCTGACTCGGGCGAGCGTAAGCGGCAGGAAAATACCTTCTCGCCGTTTAGACACGGACGCGGCAAGTTAGCGCTTGGTAATGCTTCTCACGTTGACTCTGAAAGTCGCTTAATCCTAACTCGGCTAGCCGCGGTTCTCACGGCGTTTCGGGGAGAGAGAGAGAGAGAGAGAGAGAGAGAGAGAGAGAGAGAGAGAGAGAGAGAGAGAGAGAGAGAGAGAGAGAGAGAAACGGGGGAGGGGGAGGGGGAGAGAGAGAACGTAGAGCCGCGAGTCCACCGCATGCGCGCGATACGAAATTCAATTAAGCGCCCGAGGTGAAGGATTTCTCCTTTAATAAGTTCGTATTCGCGCGCTCGCTCGCCCGGACGAGAGTAACCCTACCGTCGTCGCCTCGGTTATTACCGCAATCAAAACGTCGTCGTTACTCGCACGAATTTAGCAGCCGCGCCGCGGGAAAACGCTGAGGATGCGACGAGAGTAAAAGGGGATGGGGAAAAAATACGAGAGAGAGAGAGAGAGAGAGAGAGAGAGGGAGGGAGGGAGGAGCAGGAGGAGGGAAGAGGAGGAAACGCGAATTAAACGAGACAAAGGCAGAGAAAGCCGCGCGAGGAAGAGATAAGAAGCGATATCAAGAACGCTCAATGCAAATGCGATGAATTTATTTGAATTGTTAATCGCGCCGTCCCGTCGCCCTCCTCCCGCGACCGCTTTGTGCATTCTTTCCGTACTTCCTCCTCTCGCGGCGCACGCGTGCCGCTAATGGGGAGAGAGCCGGGGCTAACACGACGTACCATTTCGCGAGCGCAACGACGAGCGAAATTTCGGCGTTTACGGCCGAAAAAAAGCTTGGAAATTCCCGTCTTGAGGAACGGGAAACGCGCTCGCAAGTCGATTCGACGCGCAGTCACACGATGAGAAAATGAATAATTTGAGACTCCGTTGATATACAATAGTAATTAAGTGGACATGCAGCAAGAGTCCGTCCACGAATATCCTGTGGTGCCACAAAAATTAGTTGATGAACAATTTTATTCCGTGAAATCCGTGCACGGGCTCTTATCGGTCGTAATTAACATTACGATAAATTGCAAGTTACGCGAATTGCGCCCGATCGCGGGGGTATCAAGCGATTTGGCCATTTCCCGAATCGAAATTCCTCCTCCCTCCCTTCCTCTCCTGTTCTCCCTTGTCGTCAATTAAGGAACGATAGATCGCCGAGTCCCCGAGCGGAAAATCTCATTGCAGCGGCTGGGGAGCGTGCGTGGCGAGGACATACCGTACATTTTCGGGCTGCCGTTGGTGGCAGGCGGGGCTTTCTTCCCGCGGAATTATTCCCGACAAGACCAGGGCGTTGCGGAGGCCGTCCTCACCTTCTTCACCAATTTCGCCAAGACGGGCAATCCGAACGAGCCGCACAAGATCGAGTCGGTCGACTACGGCACACCGAAGGAGAAGACGCGATTCCGCGGTCTCACATGGGAACAATACGAGACAGGCTCGCAGCAGTACCTCACGATAGGTATGTCGAAACAACTAACAATGGGCTAACAATGGATGGCCCTCTCCCCTTCCCCCATTTTTTCCCGACAAATTAAATTTTCCGCGAGCGAAATCACCGCGGTCTATTTCCTTGTCCTCCCTCCCTCTATTACTCTCTCTCTCTCTCTCTCTCTCTCTCTCCCTCCCCCAGAAAGAGAGAGAGAGAGAGAGAGAATATCGCGACTTTTTAAAATTCCCTCAAAGTTATCTCGCAAGTTAAATTGTGTTTATTCTGGAACTCCCGTCCGCTCTTCCTCACTTTGACACTCTTCCAAAGTTTTTTTTTCTCGAAACTTTAATTGTGCGCAACACGAGATCTCATTTTCCTCGCACTCGCGGATGACGACGCGCGTTAGGATTATCCGTCGCGCATAAGCGGAAGCGCGAAGCGAAATGCCTCGATGCGCTCGATAAGCGCCGATTAATTCGGCAATTAGCGTCCGCGTCGCCTCGTGACGCGATTCGCGACCGCCCAAACACACCTACGCGATTAATTAATACACGATTGTGTCCGCGCCTTTATCGTCGCGCGCTCGTTTTCAGCACTGAAGCCCAAGATGAAGAGCCATTATCGCGGTCACAAAATGGCAGTGTGGTTGAATCTGATACCGCAGCTACATCGTCCCGGCGACGACGACGTCTCCATGCGGCATCACCACTTCAGGGAACGCGGCGACCACTATTACGCAGGTAATTGCCTCGCTCTCGGGCGAGAAGAATCGAATAAACGCGCGCCGATTCTCTCGCGTACAATTAACCCTTTGAGCCCGCCATCACATTTGCAATGCACCTTTGACCTTGGTTCTAATGAGACATGAAATAATTTGTAGGAAACGCAACGCGGCGGAAAGTCGTCTCTTTTACTTGATTAACCCCTTCCGTGGCAGAGCAAAATTCAGTCAAACGCACTGAAACCGCCCCACAAAAAATGACGGGGCGGATTTCTTCAATAATTTGTATACTTCAGTTCTTTCGGTCGCTGAAGCCGAATTTGAGGTCAAAATATAGAAATTCACTGAATGTTTAACCGTGCCACGGAAGGGGCTAAATATTACAGAATAATTTCCAAATGAGAAAAAATGCGCATTCCAAGAGCAAAAAGCTTCTCGTGAAAAATCAACCGGTTAGTCGATTACCATCGGATACACGTCGCACCGCTCTGGGAAATTAGAGATCAAAGAGCTAACGCGTATCGCATAATTAACACGTTGACCAACGAGCTGCGCGCCGAGTCTCACCGTGAAAATACGTTCGCGGTGAAATTTTTCTCGTCGACGAAATGCGAACCGGCAAAACGCACGATGCAAAAGATCGCGCGGGCACCGTTAAATTGGCCATTAAATCATCGCGCGTGACGACTGACCTCACCGACGAATCATCGGCACGTTCCCGGGCGGCGGTGGGGGGAACGTGCGCTAATAAATTAATTAATTAATCTCTCACTGCCGTTACCGTGATTGTTCAGGCCCGGTGCGAGACGAATGGTACACGCCGCTGCCGCTGACAGGCACGACTCGGACGAGCGCGTCCTCGACCACCGCCTGCAGCACGTCGACGGGCGACGACGGCCTCGCCGAGGACATCACGCCGATCTTGGACGACTCCGAGGACGACGCCGAGCTGCTGCAGCGGTTGGCGTCGCGCCACTACTACAGCACGACCACCGCCCTGGCCATCACCGTGGGCGTCGGCTGCATCCTCCTGGTGCTCAACATGCTGATCTTCGCCGGCATTTATTACCAGCGGGATCGCGACAAGAAGCGCGCCACCATGGACTGCAGACCCAACGGCCAGGAATCGTTGCCGCTTACCACCAGGACGTCCATCAAATCCTCGGAGAACCCGCGACCCGCTCACGAGCCCCCGCCGTCGTACACGACCTTGGCCAGGAGCCCGTCGATCCAGGAGCAGCAGCACCAGCAGCAACAGCTCGCCCAGGATCCGCTGGACAACGGCGAGCAGTCGCGGAAAGAGCCGCGACCCAGCCACGGGAGCAGCAACACCATCCACAAGGATCCCATCCCGCCGAAACCGCCGGCCCGCACCACCAGCTCGCTCAGCACCACCTCCGGCGGCACCAACACCATCAAGAAGCGCGTGCAGATACAAGAGATATCCGTATAGCATTAGGGGTTGCCCCCAGAGGGCAACAATTCGCGGACAAAGCGGGTGACTTTCGTGGAGGCCACCGCCGAGTCCAGATTCTGATCGCAACTCGGAACTCTCAGTTGTCGATCGCGCGATCACGCGAGTCGGCCGGCGAGAATTCTGGTCTCACGGTGGCATACGATTCCGCGCCGCGCGTGTGTCACACCAATATAGACCGGCAATGCTGAGCACTCGAGGCGCAAATTGGAGACTGACGCGCGCGGCTAATGATGACGGGATATTGCCACATTTCGATGCAATGACCGATCATGATCATTAGCGAGAGCGTTTTCTCCCACGTGGCTCGCCGTGGCGCCACTAAACCCGACCGAACTGCCATTAGCGGGCCGGCTTAGCGCGGCCGACCGTTAACTACTTAAGGGACATTGTGGATGATTCTTTCTACCTGTAGAAATGTAAGGATGCACGTGATCGTTACCGCTGATAAAGACGTGGATTGTGTACGTAGTCGCTACTCTTAAGAAGATGGGATATCGTTGGAGGACGTAGCTCTCTCTCGCGAGGGGGGAGGGGAGGGGGGGGGGACTTAGTGAAATACGCTGTAGAAAGCTCGAAACGCCTCCCTTTTCTCCCAGGGATCATTGTTGCAAGAGGTATTCGAAGGTATCGATGCGACGTCTCTCAGCCGTTTCATTTGTCGCGACTCTACGTAAGTCGCGATTCCCTTTTCGGAGGACAGCGGGAAATAGGTGGCCTTAAGTATTATTGCAGCGACATAAAGAGAAAGAGGAAAAGAGAAGAACGCATCGACGTCTTCGAAAGACACGAAGAAAGGCGGGGAATTACCGGGACGAGAGAGCGCGGCACATGAATGGGAATTCGCGCAAGAGGTCTCGGATCGGATTCGAGCATATCCCGGCCGACGCGACTGCGTCCACGTAAGAATACCGTCGGGTCGGCCAGCTAAGCGCTGTGTAATTAACAACGGCTCCGACGAGACGCGAAGATTCTCGGAAACGATCGGGGAAATACCGGGCTAATGTACATACACATATACACGCACACGTACAGTCACGAAGCATCTCAGCGGCGCTTTGCGAAGCATCGATCGGAAGGAAGAGACACTCGACGGAAACGGATCAAACGGATCGTCGCGATAAGTGGCCCGATATTCGAACGAAACGATAGCGCCCGAAGCACCAAAGAGAGGGAGCTCTCCCCCCCTCTCTCTCTCTCCCCCCCGCAAGTGCCACTTGCCACTTGCGCCCGCCCTGAGATTGCGACACACAAGCGAGCGTGTGTGACTGTGCCCGAGGCTGCAACTTTCGAAGTATCCGCGTATTTCCGATCGAAGATCGGCCGGTGGCTTGATAACGCTCGCATTCCTTCGAAGCTCACCCGGCCCGAAGCTCTCGCAGAGATTGCGCTATGCGACGTGAAGCCGAGGTGGGAATGCACCGTGACTCGAACATGGTGGCGCGGCGACCCTCGAGAGCACCGAATCCGACCTCCGCTTGAGTGTTCCGTCTTCAAGTGTTCTTCTCGTAGGCGGTAGTCCGACGGTGATGAGCCGGCGACCGGAAAGCTCCGCTCTGTGACGATGATCTCTCACTCGTGAAAGCTTCTCACCTACGAGCCCCGAGCTTCCGACTGGCGGTATCCTGTGCGCGCATATATTCTTCACGTTGGCACGCGAATTCGTACGCACGAGACTCGACGCGAGTATCGTCGAGACGTCGGTATCCAGAAAGAGGCGCGAGAGCACGTCAACGCGCAGTGTGTGTCCATCGCTGCTCGAGACATGACCGAATTACTTCTTTCGCACGAGGTCGCTCCGGCCTCGTGAACACCGCGGCGGAATTTGGAATTTCTCGTCGAAGTTACCCTCTCGTGTAAGAGTCAAGACTCGTGGGTATATCGACGAGCGAGCTTGGACTGAGCTCGAGGCTATCAGAGTGGGAGATTTTCACCCTGGACACTGTCTGCTTGAACTCTTGTCTGCTCGTGTGCGATACACCGACGAGTCACCGCCTACGATCAAATATCTGCTCAAAGAAAAAAAAAACATGCGTAACGATAAAAATCCGAGAATGTAATTTCTCCCTTCAAGTAGAATTAAAGCCGTCAAAAAGACTCGCGGCTATAGTGACACACACACACACTCTCTTTCTCTTTCTTCCTCTCTCTCTCTCTCTCTCTCTCTCTCTCTCTCACTCTCATTCACTCACTCTTCCACGACCAAGTATCCTAAGGTGTGATCACACACTCATGTTTGCGAAGGTACATTTTGTCTTTGTATAGCGCTCCTTAATCCCGAATTAATATTCATGACCCGGCATCGCACGTTCCCGCCAAACTGCTCACCGGATATTGAACCTCGAGGAGTCGTGTTGCGCGCGGCTAAATCTTGAAACGCGCTCTTTGGGATATCGCGGGGCTGCGACATATCGCGATAGTATCGAGCGCGAGGCAGGGTCATGCGCAATGAGACGCGGAAAGAGCGGGAGATCACGAGACACGCGAGATGGATCCTTCGCGAAGAAACAAACATTGCCAAAAGGAGAGACTCTTTGTAATAACCCGTTTATATTTCAATTCTCGCGATTGCTTACGGCAATCTCGCGGTCCCGGGATCCATTGCGACAACAATAATAATAACGTGATAACAATAACGGCGATTTTATGGCGACCGTTAGTGTTTATCTCACGTGAAAACCTTCGAGACCTTTTCTTACCAGACCTGAAATGTATAAAAGTGAATATCGCAGTCTCGGAGATATGAAGAATTTTCGACGATCAAGACTGTCTGAAGTAATAAGATCCGTTTCACCGATTATCATGTACGACTCGGAGACGCACGAGAGAGATTATACATATGTACTAATACAATTAAGCGGGCTGTAAAAGCTGTAAGTTACCACAGTAGCGTTAATATGCACAGACTCGGTGTGTCGCGTAAGGAATCGTAAAATGAAATACTGTCGACTTCGATAGCTTTAAGTGCGTACGTCATCACGTGTAATTTTTTCATGGTAATCGCTCGCGACGGCACGTTGTGATACTTGCGTGAACGGAGATTATCGGCGCACGTATGTGACGACAGTGAAATTTAAATACGTGTTAGTTTAGACAACCAATTTGTAAATTTCACTGTACAACAATAAATGCCCATTTATAAAATATAAATGCCTTTTATGCTTTTATTAATAACGCTTTTTATCACGTCGTTTGAATAATGTCGTTTATTCTCCTCAGGTTCTCGTCAGATCATCATGGAGCGGGCCTCGTTGATTTGCTCGATGCTGAAGGACATCGAGTGATCAGTGGAATCATGTATATATAACAAATGTAGACAAAATTATATTTTTCCAAGTAAATGTATGTATAATATATGTATGTATAATATATAAACATATACATATATATATAATACAGAAGTATCGCACAACATGTCAATGAGGTATAACAGAGAGATATCAGTATTTAACAAAAATCCGTCTCCTGTTCATTAATCATCGTACTACGTACGATCTATGTATTACTTTCTCTCACTTCTAAATTATATATGGTCATATAATTGAAAATATACATATTGTGATTTAATATTTTGCTTACAAGTATCATTAGTTTCGAAGTCCCCACGGAGAGTCCTCGCGGAGACCTCGCAATCTTACTCGGCGATCTTACCCTTCTTAGCAGGAGCTGCATCGCGAACAGGACTGTTGCCCCTCTTCTTTCCACCTCGCGCGTTACGACCTTCGAATACAACGTTTGTTAATGACTGCATCTTTTTCGAACGAACTTTAACATTACTATCGTATATATGGAATTCAGTACATCAAATTTAACTCATTGAAATCCAGATATATGACCACCATATATATGATTTCTCGGTATTAGCATGGCTAAACTCATCATTATATAATGTATACAGTGATCAATATAATTATATTTTCAAAATTGAAACGAACTTACCTTTTTTACCGCTACGTTTTCCTTTATTGTGCTTGTTTTTCGCAGCCGTCATCTCCTCAGTCACTTTAATGAGGTACTTTTCTTCTTCTTCGCCCTCGAGTATTCTGCAAGTGACCTCCGAGTTGTTAATTGTCACCTTCAAACACAAAACATATCGGCTCAATTATCTTAATATATCATAACACACGTACGATAACTTTGATGGTGTCTCAAATAGGTTATAAAAATATTCTTAGCTAATCGACAGTCACGTTAGTCAACCTTAAGTATTTTACAAATGTTTCTCACTTTGTTATCATCCATTTTTTCCAACACAGGCTTAGCAGCATTTTCTCCCTGGAGACGGATCCATCCTTCCGTATTGCCCCTTTGGAAGTCAATATACGCGACCTCAGCATTCAGTTCTTCTAAACGTTCTTTGACATCTTCTCTGATACAAGTTTTAGAAACACCAGAGAAATAAATAACTGAACCTCTTGGCAATTTAATTTCTGTCACAGCGGGTGTTGAATCTGTTTCTTCATCTTTGTCTTCCTGTTCCGCCTGAGGGAAGTACATCAAACATATTATTCTGATAATGATAACATGTCAATCTGTCCTATTGGCATTGATATATTTTTCTGAAAACTGAAGTTTTGTACTTACACTTCCTTTCTTGGACTTATTATCTGTTTTTTTCCTTCTACGTTCCTCCTTTTCCTGTGCCTTCTCCACTGCGTAATCCGCACTACAACAGTTGCATTAAAGTCATAAAATTAATCTAATTACAGACGTATATAGGGTAATTAATTGCGTATCAATCAATATTACTTACGCCCATTTTCTTATTAATTCAACATCATTATACTTCACGGATTCAACAGTCATGAAAGCTTTAGCAACATCTAAAGTTTGAAATTGTACAAAAATGGATCCTTTAAACTTCAGATTTTTTTCTTTATCTTGGTATTTTCTCATCTATAGGAAATGAGATATTCAATGCTTAGATATGAAATATATATACATATATATATATATATAACTTAATATATATATAACGTAATGCTTAACATATAATCATACAGTAAAACAAATACACTTACCACAATTGTCTCAAATGGTTTATATGGGGCAAAGAATGTTTTCAACTTTTCAATATTCATATTTGTTTGTGGGAATCCCTTAACATAAACTGTCTTAGCCTCTTGGGCTTTCCTATACTCTTCGTTATATTCTGGTAGTGGATGTTTAGGTGAACGCCGAATCTTCTTTCTATCTTCAGATATATCCATAAGATCACTATCTTCCAGAGCTTTCAGTATTACATCGACACTTTTGCTAAGATTTGTTAGCTGTTTAAAGTTCAACATGATAGTCATTGGGATCCAGCCATCGTCTAGCTTTGTTTGCTCTATAAGAAACTTGTCCTTTTGCATATTCACATTGCCAAAGTAATACTGCCAAGAAACACACAAAAAGTTAAAATTAGAAAACTAGAAATTCTCGTTAGTTGCTAATGGAATTATTTCCGCGTAAGTAAAAACTCAAGAATTGAATTCGGAAGACACGTGATCAAATCATTCGGCCGTAAGAACAAAACGCGATACCTCTACTTGTTCCTTTATCTTCTGCGAAATTTCTGCGGAAATTTCTGCGGATTCTTCCTCTTTCATGTCGTTCTCTTTTACATTATCTGCTTCTTTTATATCGGTCTCTTCTTTTGCGTCTTTCGAATCGCCGGCAATCGGCGTAGCGTTCTTAACCTTATCAGCGGTAACTTCGTCAACGGCCTCTTCAGCGACGCTATTTGTGCCCTCGGTTTTCGTTTCCTTCTGACCGTTTTCCATGTTTGTGATATTCAACTGAAAATATCTACACGAAGCAATATCTACAAGAAGCAGCGACGTTTAAAATCAATAATTCCTAGTACGTTTCAAGTATCTACGCGCAAATATTCACGTTCCACCAATGCGCAATATGAGCATCAGGCGACGAAATGATCGCGTTACACACACGTGCCCTCGGCAGTAATGAAAAAGTGAATAGGCTGGGCGCGCATGCGCGTCGGACAAATGGGGATTCCAGTATCGTACATATAAATATATACATATGTAATGCACGTGCAAATCTAATAAAATATTAGTTTACGCGAGATACAGCCGGTAGACAAACGACGAGGCAAGTATTTAATTAAGTATAGGCATAAATTTAAGTATAGATATTTAACTATAGGTAAGTATACTAGATTATTATATACATATATATGTATATATTTTCTAATTTTCCAAAAATATATATTTATACAATAGGGCCCTTGGTAATGACACCTCATTTTACTTGTTCTACATACTACCTTAACGCATGCGCATCCAGCCTATCCACTTTCCCACCATTGGCCGTTAGTTACATCAAAATCGGAAATAACTTAACTACTGTGATCAATCAACCTTCCTAAGTAAATTTCAATTTTGATGCATTGTTGAAATCCTGATACCTAACGAATAAATGGAGAAATATAAATAGGACTGAAAATATTAGATATCGAGCGATGGCTGATTTCCTTCGAAATTAATTATCAAATGTGTACTTGATCTAATCTTGGCACCATCTAACGGTATCTCAGTAAAAACGGTTGGTCGTACGGTTTAAGTAAACAAAACATGGTTTGAGTTTTGGCTAAAAATGGTTCGAGTCTCGATGATGTCGACATTTAGTTCAGAAATCTCCGTTACGAGCCGCTACTTTCCTCGATATCGTAATTCTTAAATAGTCAATGGCAGATATTGGACGTTATCATGCAAAATGAGCAAAACTCAACGACTTGTAATTTTGTCAAAAAAGACGTTATCGAGACAGTTTCAAAAACATTTTATAGCTTAAAGTATCCAGCTTTTAATAACATTAATGTCATGTTTCGCTGTCATGTTTCAAAAGAATATATCGAATTAAACAAAAAATGTTGTATAACACAGTGAAAAAAAATCGCACTGCAATTTATATGCACACAAATTAAAGGAACAATTTCATGTTTTGAATGACATAAACAGCACTTGTGTGCAAAATTTAGTGTATACAGTACAAATCGATAAATATCATTAAGAATTTGGCGTTGATTTATGAAGTACAACTTACATTTCTATAACAACATGAATTTTTAAAAATGATTATATTTTATACTCAACGTTAAATTGGGAAATTGAAAAGTTCAAGTTGTAAAATGCTTCATGAACCATTTAGTTTCTCGTTTTCGAGTTACAAGTCGTTGAATTTTGGCTGTTTGTCATAATCGAGGAAAGTGAGTCCTCAAAGTGCAACAAATTATTTTATCGAGTCGGATGAAAAATAACTTTTACCCGCGTCTTCTTGTAAAATTTTCACATTGAAAATTTACATCCGATGTCGCTGTAACCGGTGGAGAAATTAAAGGGGCGCACGAGAGAAAGTAACGAAGCCGCGAGGAGCCTTTCTGCCAGCGAACAATGCGGCGCGACGATTGGAAAGTCATCGATCATGTATCCTAATTCGCGCGGCGCCGCGTGATATTGTAAAATTCGTAGCCATGATCGATCGCCTGCGAACTCCCGCGAGACGACGCGGCCTCTGCACGCTTGATTGCCACAGCGGTGCACCGATGCCCCACGTCATCGAGGATCGATGCGACAGCCGATAACATTCGGATCGCGAGAACGGAAATGCGCGAACCTTGAGAAAATCCGCGCTCAAAGTGTCCGCGAGGCAGAGCGAAACGTTATTTCCACCGTCGTTTCTACAAACGTGAAGCGTTCGATACGCGTGTCAAATAATAACTCATTGTGACGGTCCGGAGAAGAGAAAAAAAAGGATATGCAGGGAAGGTCCTTCGTCCTAATGAACCGCTCGTGTCCGTTCGATTCGCGCGCGTTGCCGTCTCGGTCTGTCAAATCGGACTGGCAGCTGTCACCTTTTAAAACCACGGTCGAAAAAATTGTTTAATATACGACACCGCACTTGTAACTCGGCAATTGAGTCGCCTCGGACCGCAGCGAATCGTCGTGACGATTGGGGGCTGGCGACTTTCAAATGGGGATGTAATTTCCAGAGGGTGCCGACGCGCATTTAAATTCAATCCGCACCGCTCGGCCGTCGCGCGACATTTTCCCCAAACGCGCGCTTTTTTGTCCTCGCGCGAGAATCGCTCGGCGTGTCGTTACGGTGGGAGTTCGGCAATTGCCGCAAATCGACCGCGGTGTCTTTATTGCGTCGCTAGAAAAAAAAAGAAAACGAAAAAAATTCCCGTCTAACGTCGGGGTTGCTTCGATGACGCGTCGACGCGCGGAGTACTCGCGCGGGTGCAGTCGGATGATTGAAAATTGCGGCACTTTTACCTCGACGAACTTTTTTTCTTCTTAGTCTGTCTGAAGAGATACATTGTCTCACTCGAGACGAAAATCGCGTGACTCGTCGAGACGAAAAGACGTGTTGCAATTTTTGGTAAATTTTGCAGTAATAGCCCGGGGAGAAAGCGAGGAGTGCGGATAAAATTTGCAAAAAGCTCCGACTCACCTCATTGTGATCGCGTGGAAAAGAAAATAAGAGACACGTCGCGTTCTGGCTTCGGAGTTTCGTCGCAAAGTCAATAACGCGATAATCCGATCTGATTAATTCGATTCGATGCCGAGCGCGGACGTGACTTACCGCTAGCCGGACCAGTTCTTGAAAGGGAGCCGCACCGAGAGAGAAAGAGAGAGAGAGAGAGAGAGAGAGAGAGAGAGAACACAGATGGTGCGGGAAATCGTGATTCGGCGGAATCGGGGAAATCTCGACAGCCCGCACAGTCCTAATTGGGAGACAAAAATGTTCAACCAGTGTTGCGCAATTTCATTATACGCGCTACGCTCACGGTACAACGTGACCAGACGAATTAATTGCGACGAGAATTCTTTGGCAAAGCGAGTATCGTACACTGAGAGAAAAGTATTATGATATTTGGAACTATAATGATACAGTAACTAAATTATAGTCCGAAATATCATATTTATCGTAAGTATTACCATAATATCGGTAATAATTACGATATAGACATAGTATAACCAAACATAGTATAATATTTTCACTAAGAATTATAGTAAGTTAAACTAAAATTATTGTATGGATACAAATCCATAAAATGGTAGGTAAAGTAACTCTTTTATATAGTCAATATTACCAGAATATTTGCTAAATGATGACAGATGTAACTATATGAATATTAAATCTCACTATATTTGTGAATGAGAAATTAGCATATATGTGGTAAAAGTAACTAAACAACTATTTAAGACAATCATTGACTACATATTTGTGTTTATTCGACTATATTTTGCAGGTTCCACGAACTATAAAAATATGGTTGACGCCAAAATGAACTATAAAATATAGTGAAATTATAGTTAATTCAACTATATTTTTCTATCAGTGTATCTTCACATGTGTCATTCGTCGACGACAAAGTTTGCACTTACCTCTTCACCGCTTGTTGAGTCCTTGAATTCCACTTGAAATTTTAAGTTTAGTCGAATGACAGGACTGCGAGAGAAGAAAATTTGGTGGTTTATTTATCCGTCGATAAGGTAAATTTTCCAGTAACCGGATGTTTAAGCATAGGTCGTGACAAAAAATACAATATATAATATTAAGAATAGTTTTGATTTGAAATATTTGCATTTATTCGAAAACTTAAGATTCCCTTAAGTAAAGAAAAATGATTTAAACCAATGTATATATCTATTATCAATAAAATATTTACATAAGTAATGAAGCGCATTAATATACCAGTGACCGGACAGTTGAAATCGATTATGGCTCAATGTTCGAATATATTTATCCCAGTGTGTCTGACTGCAATTAGAAAATTAATATGTGCTAACGGGAAATAATATAAATATAGATGCTATCTCTTAATGAATTTATTAACGATTGACCATTATTTTGCCAAACCATAGGTGCATACTTATTTAATTAATTTTTATTTCAACACAAAAGTATCAAATTGGGTATATTTTTTTTCCAACTAATCGTCAAATATCTGAGTTTTCTTTTTACAATAATTATTACTTTCATTCATTGTTGTTAAAATAAATAGTAAATATTTTTTTTCAAAGTGGTCGGATACTTGAGACGTTCACCTTATTCTACCTGCAGTTACATAATTAATATATTGTTTGGAATTAATTAATATATTGTTGTTAGAATCGAAAACAAAGACTCAACGCAGAATATCGAATTGATTATCGAATATTAAATGATTCTTAAGTAAATCTTCTCTCCATCTTTCGTCAGGCTACACTAGGAAAAAAAATTTAGTATCTCTAACAAAACTGTTTAGTTGAGGCATTTTTTAATAGCAATATCTTGTTTTATATAACAGAATAATTAGTTATCTCAACTAAATATATTTTTCTGCTTTGTTCTCTGGACCAAATGATTTTGTTCTTAGACTTCATATATAAAAATTAAGCATTTTAGTTATTTTATCTACAAAAATGACATAATAACGAAATATTATTTTACATAAACTAAAATGATGCCGAATGAATACTATTTTGTCTTTCTGTGCACTAAAATTTAGATTTTATATATTAAGTAAATTATAGTATTTTTAACAAAATTCATATAGTTAAAGCTTGTTGGTTGCTATATAACAAAAGTATTACATTATACGAACAAACCGTAATCAAACGAGATATTTGTTTACAGGAACTGAACAGTTTTGTTGGGCATATTTTAACCAAATTATTTTGTTGTTACAACAAAATTTTGGTTCACGCAACAATACATTTCTCCTAGTGTAGATTCCTGCAGTTAGCTTCTCAAAGTCGACGGAACTTGCAGGATTAATGTGGGACTAAAATTTCGGCCCGAGTCCGCTCAGTGTTACGCAGCGACATTGCGTGCGTGCGTGCGTTTGGTGGGCCAAAACGCGATATTCAATCGTCGGAGCAGATTTACGAGGGCAAACAGAGGGCCGAGTCGCGAATAATGCAACGCGTCATAATCGATATCGCCTTTCTCACTT